TCAGTCCAGCTATGTTTATTAGCTACAACCTCTAGCAAGAATCTTCCCAGACTAAAACATTAGCAACAGTGGTCAAAAGCCTGGGCATCTGAAGGTGTGCTGACTGGGAAATGGGGTAGAGCCCAGATGACCAGAATCTGGAGCCAGGGCAGCCCCCTGTCTCCTACCATACCTACCCTATCCATCACCACTGAGATGTTCTGACCCAACCCTAGACACCCAGAAACCTCTTCTTTCCTCTACCTTTACTGGCTGGCCCCATAAGTGAAGGACCCCCATGCGATCACTCATATACCTAACATATCCCTGGGAGGGTAACTGGGTCCTTGGAGCACTTCAGCTCACACTCTGAGTGCCCCAATATTCCCAATGGCTTCCCAGCTCAAACAACAACCAGTCCCCATCATGCACCCCCAGCCAGACTCCTCTCACAAGCCTGGCAGGGAATCTGGTTTATAATCTATTACAATCTGGTTCATCTAGTAGATATTAAGGAATCTTCTAAGCTATACAAATCTGCAGAATGTAATTGTGTTCTGTAATTCAGTTCGTTACAACATACAGAATAAATATTTGGAAGATCATTAAATGATCTGCTTGTTTAGAAGATTCGGTAAAACGTTCTGTAAACAGTTATTATGTGAGTTTGATTGAAATGCATTGCATAGTAGTTTGGGTTGAGTTTGTATTTTGTTTTTTCCTTTGCAGGTGGTTGTGTTACTGCAACGTCCCCCAATTTTGTGACAGTCTACCTCAATACGAAACCACACAAATTTTTGGGAGAACCCTGCTGCGTTCAGTCTTTACCGTTATGAGACGGCAACTTCTTGAACATGCAAGACAGGAAAAAGACAAACTTCCTCTTGAGAAACGAACTCTAATCCTAACACATTTTCCCAAGTAATTTCTTTTAAAAATTATCAACTTTCTGATTAATTTGAAAACTACATACTCCTCTTCTATAGAGTTACCAGGTTTGGGCTGCAAAATTCCAGAGGATTACTTGATGGTAAATAGAAATATAGAAAACTCTTGGTTATTGTCTAGTGCTGTCCAGAGTTTTGCAGTCCAGATCTGGTAGCTTTGTTCTTTCAGTATGATCGCTGACCTGTTACTGAAATAGTCTCTCCTTACTGCAAAGTCTGAAGGGAAATATACCAGATTTTACTTAACATGGAGAGCTGGATCAAAATAAACTGCCTTTAACAAAGAGTTAAATCATTATAGAATGGCTCTGGAAGAATATCCTCTGTTAAACTCTTCCAGAACTATTCTGTAGTGATTTAATTCTTCATTCCTGCTAATTTTATAAAATTATAACTCCTCGTACTAAGCCATAATGTAGTTGCTTGGTTTTGGCTTAACACACTGTTTGAACTCAGCTAACTCTGGGTTTTTTCAGTAAGCTGTGGCTTATTATGAAGTGTGAAGTTTGTCATGCTTTAGTATGATCCACAGTTACATATCTTTACCAAAGGAATTTAAATTCTTGCTATCCTGTACTTGGATCTGAAACACCAGAAATCTGCTTCTCTTGGTATTGCCTGAAGCTATCAGAAGAACTCCATATCTGTAAATGAATGCTGTGGATTCAGAGCTTCTAAATGTAAATTCTCATAAGTGGGGAAAAAAGGCTGTTCCATAGACAAGTTGATCAAAAAAACCCAAGATGGCAGAAGCATCATCATGATGCAAGCCCCCTTCCTCACCCCCTTTGTACATGCATGTGAAGCTTTTTTTTTTTTTAACCCCTCCTGGTAGAACCCAGTGCCAGTCAATATCTTGATCTGAGGTACGCATTTGCTTAGGAGTTAGTCTGATTTACCTCACTGCTACTTACATCTGAGTAAATATGTACAGAGTAGCAGAGCACTGTTGGAGTGTTTGTAGTTTATCCAGGCAAAATTACTCAGGATAAAAAGTTTAGCATCAGCCACTTAGGTAGGGTTAATTTTGCTGCAAAGGCAGTTTGCTGTTCTAAGTTCTAATTTATGTCAGGATATTTTATATAAACATGTAAGTCAATGCAGCAGAAAGAATCTCTTATATGTGAAGTAATGTACCAGCCTGCCTGTGTATTAAGAATTACAGGTAGTCTTTTCAAAGCATCTACCAATCAGTAGATCAATTACAGTTTAATCTAGATTCAACTAATTAATTGTTAAAAAAAAACCTTTAATGTACCTAAAATTTTCATATCCAATGATAAAAATTGACTTGGGCTGGGATCCTGTGTTTTTGCATTTCAATAGAAGACTTTCTGATCACAGAAGAATTGTTTTTGAAAATATTTTTCAGAATATGAATCTTTCCATCAAAGATTCCATTCACAAAGCATCTTAAAATCCACTGAGCAGCCTTTGGCAAAATGGTAGTTTTCATAAGACAAATTAAAGGTCTGAAATAATACAAATTTGTGAATACCCAAATATAGATCTTTAGACAAAAATTAAAAAATTAAGACAGAGTGGCTTACTTAGACTTGCTGCTCTTAAAATTAATAGGGAAGCAAGTTGGGGATACAAGATAGGTACCAGATCTGGGCTGCAAAAACCCAGACAGCCACAGTAAAAGGATACAGAAAACTCAAGTTATAGTAATAATTACTTATTAAATTTACTGTATATGCCACCTGACTCCTAGTGAGGCACTATGGCGTGGTTGTGGGGCTTGCATGCTCTGAGGAGGATGAGCGCTATGCCAGAGGTCAACCTACTGGACAGGTATCAGAGGATCCAGACGAAGAGTGCCTCTCCCATAAACAATATGGTGAGAAGAAACTTACAGAAACCTATACCAGATTGGTCATTGCCCGGGTCAACAAGGGCCACACTAGGTGTTGGAGTTCTTGGACATCTGTGACAGGTGAGCTACAGAACTCAGGACTGTTGGCTGAGCAACCAGGGCCAGCAGCTGCAGGATTATTGGAAGAAAAGTTGCTTACCTGTCACAAATACATGAAGACTGAAAACAAAGAAATAATCTGTATTACAAATCAAGAGGATAACTGAGAAGAATGTACCAGTTCTGGAAAGAACAACCAGAATCACAAATATCAGAATAGAGGCTAGCAGATCAACACCAATTTATAATACAAAATAAAGTATTCACAGAAGGAGAATTGCAAAGGTCTACCCAGGGCAAAGAAATCAGAGCCTTTCCAGAAGTAATTCAGACAGAGGCCAACCAAGGGGAGTGGGCAGTAGAGGAAGTCAGCATCACTATTGAATTGTTTTAATTCCCAAACCAGACACCCTCTCTCCTGCCTTCTCCTCAAAAAGAACAAAGTCCTCTAACTGAAAAACAAGAGGAACTAAAACAAAGAATAACTGAGCATCTAGAACAGCACAAAAAGAACAGAATAAAGTTGCCTGCATTGAAGCTTGTTACAAAAAACCCAGCTAGGACAAGTATTAAAAGTTGCCAGTACTGTGATATCAAATCTAAGCACCAGGTCACTGCAAGAAACAACTAATGTACAGCACAGCTGCAGTTATAACTGAATACCTTGGATGCAAAATCAACAAACGAGAAAAAAAACCAAACAGTGCATTACCAAAATGGAAGATCAGGTTAGAAAATAAGATCAGCATGCTAAGATCAGATGCAAGCAAGCTAGAACAGATGAAAAAAAAGCTGAAGAACAAGAAGACCAAAGACTACCTATCAAGAAATATCACCTAGAAACAAGGAAGATCAAGGAAGCACTGGAAATAATAAAGCAGCAAATAACAGCCATAGCCAAGAAAATCAGCAAAGCTTGAATTGCATGCTACAGGTGGAATCTCCAATTTCAGTCAAATCAGAAACGTTTCCACCAATCCGTCAATAGAGGAACTACAATGAACCAGCCAACACCTGACAAAAGAAACAGTGCAGTTCTGGGTGCAGCTATGAGACAACCTAAAGAAATACAACAAGAATGTAGCTTGGATAAAGGAGGCGGATAAGGAAACAAAAGCTGAAATGAAAGAACTTGTAGTAACAACAGAAATGATGGAGAAAAGGGCAAGGAAGATCAAGAATTGGTCAGCACCAAGTGAAAATGAATTGGATGGTTTTTGGTTGAAACATTGACTAGTTTGTACCCACTCATTGCCAAGAATACTTCAAGGAGGTAAAATTGAAGATTGGTTAACATCTTTCAAAACCTTCTTGATAATGAAAGATCCAACAAAAGGGGCAGCACTAGGCAACTACAGGCCAATTACCTGCTTACCAACAAGTTTCAAATTGCTAACTGGTGTGGTAGCTGTTGCAGTCCAACAGCATCTAGTTGAAAACAAGGTCTTTCCATCTGAGCAGAAAGGAAACCGCCCAAACAGCAGAGGAACAAAAGATCAACTCCCAATTGACAAGATGATTTTGGAAAACTGTAAGAAAAGGAAGAACAACTTGAATGTAGCTTGGATTGATTACAAGAAGGCATTCACCTTCTTACCTCCCTACCACATGACTGGATAATCAAGTGCCTAGAAGTAACAAGTCAGTAGAAACATCAGAAGCTTTGTGTGAAGATCGGTGGCACAATGGAAGACACAGTTGCTGGTCAATGGTGATAGGCTGGGAGAGAGAGGAAACATCAAGAGAAGAATCTTTCAAGGAGACTCACTATCACCACTACTGTTTGTCATTGCATCAATTCCTCTGTCAGTAATACTGAACAAGTCAGGCCACGGCTATCAAACATCAAAAACACCATCTGAAATAGAATCACTGCTCAACACTGTCCAAATATACAGGCAAGATATTGCAATGAGTTTGGACTGAGCAAATGTGCCACCTTTAACATCAACGGGAAAAATAGTGAAAATTGAATGAATCAAGAAGCCCAATGGAAATAACATCAAGAGTTTGGATGAAGATCACTAGAAATACCTGAGTATCCTTCAGGCTGACAACATCAAGCACACTGAAGTCAAGATTAGTAGTGAATACATCAGAAGAGTGAAGATCTTAAAGTCCAAACTCAGTGATAGAAATGCCATCAAGGCGATTAACACCTGGGCAATTCTAGTCATTAGATATACAACTGGAATAGTGGACTGGATTCAAACTGAACTAAAAGCCCTGGATAGGAGGATCAGAAAAATAATGACAATGAATCATGCCTTTCATTCGTGCAGCGATGTTGACAGACTCTACTTACCAGGGAGCATAGGTGGGCGTGGAATGTTATAAGTACACCAGCCAGTTGAAGAAGAAAAAAGGGCATTGGAGGAATATCTGAAGGACAATGAAGAAGATACACTGAAGCTAGTACACCATAATGGTGTATTGAATGCCAGAGACCAAACTGGCCTATAAGAAAGACCAAATGAAGAGAAGAAAAGAGACATGGCAAGGAAAAGTATTACATGGCCAGTACACAAAAAACTAGCAGGCAAAGCAGATGACAAGACCTGGCAATGGCTAAGAGCAGGAAAGTTGAAGAAAGAGACAGAGGGGCTAATTCTGGTTGCACAAGACCAAGCCTTAAGAACAAATGCATATCAAGCCAGAATTGAGAAGACAGCAACAGACAGCAAATGCCGTTTCTGCAAAGAAGCTGAAGAAACAGTGGACCACCTAGTTAGCCACTGCAAGAAGATCGCACAGACT